TCTCAACAATGTTGCCTTGACAACACCGTTCGTGCTTACGTTTATTTGCCATTTTTGTCTTCGCACCCATCCGTCCCGTAGCTCTGCGACTTCCGATTTTTGTTAGCTCCTCCAGTTGGGACATGTTCTCCAACAATGTAGTACGCTGGGTGCGCCGCAACGGCAGTTCTATACTCTCCGAAAGACAACCATTTTTACTTTGTGCACCAGGTTACCAACTCTCTCGCTCAATGTCTCACACCAATTCTTGTGGACCATTTTTTTTACTTACCATGAATAAGGGTAGTCCCCACAGATATGCTGCAATCATCGACCGTACTCCTTGGGTGTCTCCTCCCCCAGTCAGTGCACACGTTGTGGTCTATCTCTTCCTTATTTCGATTGTTCCATTCTGGGAAAACCGGGATTAAAATCATGTACCAGGTGAATAGCATACTGGTGATGGCAATATACTTCAATCTCATTTTCTCCCTCTGATCTGGAGTCGCAGTCCCACTCCACTCCTTCCCTATCATTGGAATCGAGCACTCTAAATCTCTTGTGCGATGAATAATTCAAATTTAGATATCTGAACACCTCCACATGACACACGATGAGAACAGAAAGTGACAAACAATGTCTTTTTCGAGCTGTCTCACAATCATGCCAGTGCAATACAATATATGCGACTAATTACAGACGGGGTTCGCGAGTAAGCTGGGAAGTGATTTGAATTCTCAAAACTTTGTATCGGAATTTCATTAAGTGTCAATTGTGGTTTTTCCCCGGATGTTTCAAGACGGCCGGCAATTCGCTCACTTTAGCTTAAGTGGTTGTACAATTTGGTCTTGAGCATTCTCGGGAGAATACGGAGGTGGGGAAGAGGGGGGGGGGAGGGGAGTTGAAAACGGATGCTGGCCAGAATACGAGTTCATACATACCTAGACCACCTCGTTGTTACGTGTAGAACCTCACACTCAAAGTGGGGAGCAATTATGTTCCAAAATGTTGAGCATTCAAACTGCTTTCTCCTTTCTTATCTGTAATTGTTCATTTATTGCGCTGTTTTGACGTGCTGGTGAAACGCTGAAAACGAGCCGCGGTTTGCTACCTTGTGTGTCTTCTCGATTCGCATACACTCGACTGTCTATCAGATCCAATACCACTCCAGGTTCCATAGTTCTTCGGTGTAGAGTCTGCCTCGTCAGTTGCAATCGATCAACCGGCTTTACCATTTCAACCCAACTGTTGCAATCCTCGATTCGCACGTGTCAAATTGACTGCTGTCACAAGCGATTTTCGGGCAAACTGTCCCCGAGCCTGACTGGGTTGTTTATGTTCTTTCTCTCTCTCTCTCTCTCTCTCTCTCCAATTTTCACTCACAATTTCATCACTAGTGATTTTATCCTTGGTTGTCACAACAGTGTTCGGCGAATGCTAGTGTCGTTTGTGGGGTTGTTTTTTTTTTCTCAGTATGACGTGAACACTTCGTGTGAATAAAATGGGATGAAACCAAAGGAGAAGAGTGAGCGAAGCGAGGAAGATAGAGAGTTTGTGACAGTATTTCGGTTGTCGGTTTAATCCACGTTGATAGATGAAAGACGATGTAGTATATTTGTACAGTTTCGCCTGGGTTCGTGGTGCTCTATAGACACAAAGTGAGATGGGAACGGGAGAACTGTGACCCATATGCGTGACTGTTCCATTTCACCAGAGACGTAATAAAAGTGTCACGAAAACTTCACTTCTGTTGGGGACAGGAACTACTCGCAGTGCGCATTGGTTTATTTGTCCCCTACATTTTGTCGATTTTCGGTTCAAATGGAGAGGGGAGAGAAGGAGACTGTGTTGTTGCTGGACAGTTTTGTGTTCCCGTCCGTGATCGTTGTCATAAGAGCAGTTGATGAGTCATATATTCCCCTAAACTGTTGTTTTGCCTGCCTCCCCAACACCAACGTTTTACTTACGTTTTGTCTCTCGATGACAGCTTAATTGTTCTCATCCCTGAATTCATTCGCTCCAACGGCGTGAAATATTCTCAAATACAAGAGCTACTATCCTCGCGGACGTACTAGGTGTACTCTTATCTTAAACCCTAGTAGTGGATTTGGTTTGATCATGTGGCGAAGGTTGCAATATCTGTCCAATGCTTCCCGGTGTTTCAGCCCACGCCTTGTTTGCTCTGTATTCTTCGAACTACATGCTACTGCTAACTCTATTAGATAAAAACCGACTGTTTCTCGGACTATACTGTACTGGTTACATGCTACTTGAAGATCAACCTCAGTGTTCCGTAGAATCAAGTAAAATAGCTTACTACTAGGCATCTTCGCTCGCGTGTCGAATTATCCGTATTCCACCACCAAAGGGTTCATATATTTGTTGGGAGATTCACATGAAACTATTATCTAAATGGAATTGATTAATTCTACGTCCATAACTTCCAGCCTGCTGGTTTCATCTTCATTTACGCTCTGTGGAGTAAATGGATTATTTATACAGTTTATCATTACTGAATGGATATAATGTTGTGGTCGGATTTGAAGATGTCATTTATTAATACTATATTTCAATGTGATGAAAATCTTCGTGATGACCGACAAAGAGCACTGGACAGTTGTTTCGTCCTTTTTGGAGCTCGTTGGCCGTGTAGCTCACGGTTAAGGGTTTGAAGTCCTAACCCAAAGGTTCGCGGTTCGAGTCCTGACAAGGACAGAAAATTGTACGTACTACTAACGAGTCCCAAACTGGACAAAAGAGCTGTCCAGTGCCCTTTGTCGGTCATCATAACTATTTCCGCCGCATTTCAATGCACTTAGATCGTGATGGATTAACGATCTCCCAAGAAGTGAAACCCACCCGAGATTATCCACAGTACCTGTGAAATGGGCTAATCCAAACATTCCCCGTCTAAATATGAGGATTATACTTTATTCTCCCTCAATATTTTTGAGAACGTATTTTTACAGTCAATTCATCTAGTCGGTGAAGGATATACATCAATGGACATGGTGTCTTTTGACCATGTGATCTTTCGACCACTCTCATGATGACCGTAAGACTTCACCACCACCGTGTATGCTTCAAAAAAGCGTAATATGCTACTAATTTTTAACCCACAGCGTTACTCCAGATTGGAACTGGCATCTCTTGCAAATATTGTGAAAATCTCGTGCGGCATGCTTGTCCTGAACCAGGCTTTAAACGCAGACAATGCTATTTTTTTAATTTTATTGTTCTTTTTGTTGACTGAGCGGTCCTGTTTGACGCCCATTTTGATACGTCAAACCCTGGCTCCTCACTTTGATTTGCCATAAAGTCACCGACCTGAATGAGAGATCCGGTCAGTGTGTGATACTGTTGCTGTCGTTTTGTAGTTAATAATTCCTGCTTTTCCGCATTGTACAGTAACAGTTTTCTGTTCCTCCAAATTTCTTAGTTTCATTCTCTCCAGTTAATTGAAGCCGTTTCGCAGAAGTTTTATAGCCAAATATCCTATTTAGGCGGAGCGTTTTCAAGTTTGCGTAATGATTGATTTCCTGCCATATTATGTATCTAGTCACTTGAAGCTTCTCTGATGATTGAAAGACTGTTACGAGAACGTTATTTATCGTTGTGACTGCAGTTGATACTCACTAACAGATGGCCCGATGCGAAGCCGACCAATCCCCCTGGAGCAGCAACAGAGGGTTTTGATTCTAGTGTAAACTCGTCACTAAGTGATTCAACTATTCCGGTTCTCCTCTTTGGGATCGATTCTATTTCTCCCAAATCCTGTTACCTTCACAGACTGATTTTGCTTGTAAAAATTGATTTTCGTTGTTGTGTCGTAACTAATCATTGTAACAAGTCTCTCACGAAATAAAAACCAACATTTGATTTCGTTTAAGCGACTGCCTCAATTGTCATTGCTGCATGGAAGCGAACAGAGATAATAGATGTCTTTCAAAAGCTGGCAACGGCAACTGAAGTGAGGCAACCAGCTTCTTCTGTTTGCACAGCGGTTTGTTCATGATTTTGATTGCTACAGCTTCCGACATTGCCAAGTGACGTTTCCGATCTTGCTTCGATTTGTTTTGGATACTTTATAGATATATAGATATATATAGACTTTGAATGCATCGTTGTTTGGTTGATGCCCGGTATCAGAGAGGTAGGCCATAATCGCACTGGTTATTATTTTCTTGCAATTCGTTCTAAGCTATACCGATTTATGTTCTCTGATCCTTTGGGAAAACTGCCTCATCGTTCGTTCTACAGAATTTGCCGAACATGTGCAAATGAAGGAATACGTAATCACAGATGAGGAGAGGATGGACAGCTTATCCTTCAGGTTTGTGCAGAGCTGAAGCTGGCTTGTAAACAGCAAACGTAGGGCATCCACTAGAGATGTTCGTGCAATAGCTTTCTCCAGACGTAGATCACCACTCGAATCTCCTTTGTACTGGAGCTGCAAGAATAGTTCTCTTTTTGGCCGGGCTTGATTTGGGCATTGTGGGTTTTTCTGAGAGGTTCTTCTCGACGAACCGCTCCGGGTATTAAGGAGTGCAGATCTGATGAATCTAAGTTTTTCCTCCACTATATCCTTGGAGCAAATCATTCGAGTTATGAAGGCCAGACATTGAACTGAGTTTCGTTTAAATTTGTTTTGGGACGAAACTTAGAAAATGGATGTATTGGCCGTTCCATGTTGGCTTTCGAAAAATAAAACGGAATAACTTTCCATTGGGCCCCTTCTTCAGGTTGACATCGAGGAAGTGGAACGCATTCTTATCTGTTCCCATCGTAAAATTGATTGACGGATGAGCTCGGTTAGAACGATTCAATATTATGTCCAGATTGTACTAAACAAATCACACTCCAATAAACTTTATGAAAGAAGTAAAGATTTCATGATTTGCTTGTGGGTGCGATAGTGCCAGGTTGTTCAGGCCACAGCAGGTAAATTTTGTTTTTGGAGCCATCAGATAGTCAAAGCCTAACCTAATAGGCAGCGGGCCGGTTTGTGAAAACCACATACCATGGGTGCTGATTTCCAGTTCAGTGGATCCTGCATCTTTCGGACTGGCTCAAACGCCCGAGCTGCGCAATACGTCCCGATATCAAGTCGACCCGGTGATCACTGCCACAGTCGGGAAAATGAGCGTGTGTGGATCGCACGCCTCTTGTGGGTTGGTTTAGGATCAGGGTTTTTAGCCAACTGCCAGTGGTTCGTCGACCCGATTATAGCCCCGACCTCTCACTTTGATAGCAAAACATATGTGCAATGGGAAGTAAGTGAATAGGACTCCCTCAGCAGAGGTTATTTGGTCCGCTTGGTAGTATAAGGGCAAGGTAAGAGTAACCAGTGTCAACCCGAGACACCCACTCCCGACCATACTGAGGCTTTCGGAGACAGAGATCATGCAGGCTTGCAAATGAAATGATTTCACAACGTGCAACCGATCCAGAGACACCACTTCCATTTTGGCTGGGGTTATCCTGAATGTGAACACGTGCTATTCATTGTGTGTGTGTGTGTACATTTTAGTGCATTGCCGATTCTTTACTTTATGACAGCATATTGCTGTGTCCCAAACGGAATTTATCCTGTAATTTATCAGATTCTTTATCTACAATTGAATGTTTATGTTTGAATCTTTTTTCTAATTTAGATGATTTCGTTTACCTTCTATTTTGCCTTGCTAGCCGAGCAATAATACCCCGTCCCAGGTGTCCGATGACGGTCATGATGCTCGAAAATTAGCTCGAAAGCGTACCGTGATCGCCAACGCATCTGGTCAGGAACCTGCTCCTCCCACCAACACTGCTGAAGTCCCCACACGTCAGATACCAAAACCATCAGGCGGTACCTCATTGACCTCCACACCTCGTTCCACCTCCAGTGATCGGTTGCATGTAGCATCATCTTCAATATCCTCGAACTCTAGCCAATCACGTCATCAAGCGCGTCGGGGTCACCGTGCCTCGTCAAGTAATTCAGCCGATAGTCGAGAAGATGATGAACGATCGCAATCCAGCTCGGGAAAAAAGATGAAACGAGGTACAGTGACAAGTTTTACTTGTTTCCTCGGTAACATTGTTGATTGGGTGTATTCACTGTGTACGCTGACTATAATATTTTCACTGTCCGTTCTGTTCATCCCTCTCCACTGATCTTATCTCAGCATTACCAAACGTTTAAAATGATCATGGTTTGCACAGTCCAACGTGTATAGATTATCAGCCGTCGTCCGAAATTAGAGTACCCATGCATTCACTTTCTTATCTATCTGCCTGTCTTTGCTTTTCTGTCCTCGGTATACTCTACTCACTCATGTCTAACTGACCCAATCGGCTTGCATAGACAAGCCTTTTACTGGTTGATATCCGTGATATTGCTCAAGCTATGTTTTAGTGGATAAACCCAGTTCCATCTGCACTGTCAAAGGCTATCGGTTGGACAGCAAGATGGTCACGATTGTCTTATATGGGCACGGATCAGTTTTGTTGTGTGCTCGCCCAAGTCTGACGTAGCTTTCAGATATTGTTGTCAACTAGCCATAACCAGTAAGATTGGTTCAACTCCATGGCCGTTGGTTGAGATTGTTTTATAATCTTCAAAGACCGCTACGGTGATCATGTTCCTAACAGTTGAAGCTTTTCTATCTTTCACGAGATGAATTGGATCCAACGTTCCGGTCAGAACTTAGACCGAAAAAGACTATCTTCTTCAATCGTTCTGTTACAACCACCTTTCCAGAGCATTCGGTAGGACTGGAATGTTCCACTTGCCCGGGATCACCTCGCCCATGAGAGGCGAATTCATACGAGCGATCGTATTCAATCGGCTTAGGTTACCATCTAATCGACCTGAATGTCGTGTTCGTATCGTTTAATCAGATATCTTACGTGGTTTGTTGTATCCAAGCCACTCTATCTACGATTTGCCGTCTAAAAATCGATTTCATGATTGATTGTCTGTTCAACTTTAGGGCGTAAAGTATGATAATTGTGGTCCTGTTACTATTATCAGATCACGAGTACGAGACACGCAAATAAGAGAGCACCTGTGCGATATCATTACAGCTAGTGTTTGCTTTTCCACCAGGGTAGCTGCATTTCTCAGCCTAGTTTCCGTTGCGTACGTAGCTTAGTTCTCAACAAACGAGTTCTCATTGCCGTGGTCGTTTCTATTGTGTCTGTGTGAAACCGGACGACCTTGTTCGCATTGAATGTGACTAAGTAGCTATTGGTGCACGAAGTGCTATCAACCCTACCTTGTTCTTTCGTACTATCTCGAAAACCACACACACACACACACACACTGATTGATCACATCTGAAATTATGATGATGCGATTCATTAGTGTAGCGAGAAGCCGATCTGTATTTTAATTGACTTCGGAAAATCGCTTTGCGGGTGCGAAGTGCTACGAGTGTAGTCTTGTAAACTGAACCGCGTAACTCGCCACGTAAGTTAGATAGCTCGGGGGTATGGAGCGATGTCCAATGATAAAATGTTCTCAATGAAATTAGAGTATCAAGCTTGGATCAGCCCATTCAATTGTTCAGAGGCACCAGCCACTCTTGATGGTCTTGGGTGTGGGTTTCAATCGTTGTAAGGCCTGGCAAGGACAAAAAGTATGCACTGCTGACATGTCCCAAAGAGGAAGAAATAGCTGCCCAGTGCTCTTTGTCGGTCATTACAAACAGTGCCGTCGTTCTCAATAAATCTTTTTTTTATCGGAAAAACATTTTTCCTCATCCGGACTGTGTCTATTCACGTCAGGTGATGGTGTTGTTTCTTTCTATGTGGCTTAAGCAGCTACATCGCTGATAGAACCCAGTTCGATCTCACTGAATCTTTATTGATGTACGCAATTGACAGTAATTAGCATTGTTGATTTTACCGCCTTAGCTGGGTGTACTAAGACGAGGGAATGCAAGTGTTTTGTTTCATTTGTTTGTGAGCTATTTCATCTGCTGTGGTCTCACGCACCCTATCTCTTCTTAATTGCACCCATCCACCCACTGATTTGTTCGGCCAAGCACATATCATCCTCAAATACAAATCATTCGCATCAGACTGAGTGAAACGTTTAGATTATCCATTGCTTTTTGCTTCATTAAAAAAGTTTCACCCATTCCGCTAATTTATGTTTTTCCGCATTACCGAATCCCACAGTATGCTCGTGAATTGTAGCTTATTTGCGTAACAGCCTTAGCCTTTCTCGCTTTTGAGTATCGCCATTCTCACACTTCTTATCCGAACGGTAGTCAGTGAGTTTGCGAAATCAGTCAATGTTTCTGTCTCACGTATTGGTACTTGAAAATTTAATTAGTGGCGGTAACTGGTAGCAAGCAACATCAGTGCCCGTTTTTGTGCAGATCGATTGGATTGACTTACGGTGGTCGTTACCTTCCTGCCCTAAATATGAAATGTAAACACTGAACTTGGCCTTCTCTCCCTCACCAAGATCGTTGTCATATCCCACCCCTCTTCATTCTCCTCTCTGCATTGTCCAAACCCGGAAATCTTTTCCCACGTCCATTACTAGTTCCGCTGTCGCACACCCAATAAGCGATCTGTCCCATCTGCTTCGCCATAGAATAAACGGTACTGCATTTTTTTCGGTTTGATCGCTAGCTCGTACGCGCTTGTTTTTTTTGGGGGGGGGGGATTTGTTCATGTCAATCAATCAGACAACGCAACAATTGGTACTTTTAAACCTTTCCGTCCGCTGAGTAACCGTCAGACAGTAAAAACTCCCGTCAGGCATGATATAAATTTTTTTTGCATCGTACATCTATTCTGGCTGCAATCATATGGGTCAGAGAGACCGATCAAAGTAAGAGGGTTCTTACGGATAAAACTAAAGGAACACACACACACACAGACCACCATGTGTTTGACTGCACCTCTCCTCGGCGGGATGTTGCTTAGGTGACGCTATTTAAACTTGTTGCCTTGCTATCCTCTACTGGTGCGATCTTTCAGGAACACGGCATTGTAATCTTCTCTCTCTCTCTCTCTCTGGCTTAAAGTCGCTTTATGGACTGCTTTAGTTGCAATGACTGTCTCGGGGGTTGCGTGGTTTGGGGTGTTGTGTACTTTCTCTTAACCCACAATTGATTTACGGATCATCTGCGGTTCACCTTCCCAACTCTCTCCCATTTTCATGTCTGGTTAGAATCTCTTTCGAGCTAACGCATTCCTTATCTTCTTTTATTCAAAAACACGATTGGTTTGCAAATTTTCGTTAACCAATCACGTAGGCGGCCTGGATGTATTTTTTATTGGTATACAAATGGGCATAGGATAGTGCAGTTGGACTAACTAACACTGACCACTTACCACTCTCTGGTTTTATCAGTGGCATTCATCACAAAGTTCTGTGGGGTCAAAATCGACCTCGAGATAATTTCAAGAAAGCCAGCTGCATAGAAACTTGATTGCTGATTCAGGGGCTATGCCATATCCCGCAAACATGTAATTCATTAGTTCATCGTTAGGTGTTACCTTCACCGTATCTATTTTACTGTATCAGATATTTTTGATTGCTCTCTCACTGCTGAACCACTAGCTGTTTTTTTTCTCGATTCAATGTTATTTTCCCTGATTTTTATGCCCCGTATCAAATCGTGACGTGCAAATGACCGATTCTGGATTCCTCCCAACCGTTAGCTCATCATCGACATCACCGTCATTCCACGGATTCCACTGGTGTCTCACCTCTGAACTCTGCCTACTCACCGGTCCGTAATGCGACAACCAATGAGAATCCGCCCTCGTCGACCACATTTTCTGGCTCCTCTCGTCACAGTCGCAAGTGACACAAATTCTGTACCGTACGGGGAGCGACACACCAAGGAGTGTAACAATCCAGACCCCATCTGTTATGCATGTCAATTGCTCAGGACTCATTCTGTGTCTGGAAGTGTTTATCTCCTTCGTGCATTTACGCCAATCGCCCCTCCCTCCCTGAACCCGTCCACCACACACACACTCGCGCGCGCGCTTCGTTTTCCGCTCCACGGTCGCTTATCCAGCATCCTTTAATCATCCATATCCTGTTTTGATGTGTGCTGTTTCGTTCTGACCGAGTCTTCACATATGTGTGT